TTTTAAAGGGGAACCCGGCGTTTTTTTTTAAAGGAAAATTTCCCCCCAATTTTTGGGGGGAAACATTGGGGTTTTTTGGGGGGCCCATGCGGCTTTTAAAAACCAAAGGGTTTTTTAAAAAATTGGGGTTTAGCCCCGAAAGAGCCCTGGGGTTTGGGGCCCCCAAAAACCCAAACGGGAATTTTTTGCAACCGGAAAAAAAAGCCATGGAAACGCCTGGCGGGGGGTGGGGGGACTTTTCGGAAATTTTTCCCTCGGGGGGGTGCGTCCCCCCCCCACAAACAAGCCAAATTACCGCCCCCCCTGGGCTCCCCGGTTTTTGAACCCCCCCCAGGTAAAGGGGAATTTCAAAAGCGGGGGTTTTTTTTTTGGAACCCCCCCCCCGAAAAAAAAAACCCACCGCGGCCCAAAGGGGGGCTAACCCCCCCCCCCCCCCCCCCCCGGTCAAATCGAGACCGGGTTGGAACCAGTGGGGAAAACGCAAGCAAGGTAAGGAAGAGTCAGTTCTGAGGGGGGAGGACGACGTACTCATAATTTGCATGCCGTAGGTGTGTGACCATTGAACACGCGTCCTTGCGGGGGTAGGACGGGGGGGCAAAACCTGACGCAAATCACGAGAAGATATACAAACGAAACACACGTGCCTGGACATTTGAGAGCTTGGGGTCAGCTGGGCCACGCAGCACGCCCAGTTCATATGAACCGCCAAGCGCCACGCACGCCGCGTGAAGACAACCAAACACTACGGGTGTTCGGAATCCATAACCGCAACAAAACTCACGCAACCAGCACATAGGGTGCACAAAAGCATGCTAGAAACACACATCAGAGACTTTCGCACAACATGATACCAACAGCAACTACTACGAACACAACAACAACAGCAACAGCAACAGCAACAGCAACAGCAACAGCAACAGCAACAGCAACAGCAACAGCAACATAAACAACACCAAAACAACTAGAATAACAACGATGACAACAACAACAGCAATAAAAACAACTGAAACAACTGAAACAACAACGACGACGACAACAACGACAGCAATAAAAACAACAGCAACAGCAGCAGCAACAGCAACAGCAACAACAACACAAACAACTGAAATAACAACGACGACAACAACCACGAACCTCCCCGAAGCTGAGGGCCAGGTCGCACACCGCCTGGGTCAGCGCCTCGACGCGCATGGGTTCGTCGTATGTGAAGCGGTGGTTCTGCGCCTCCACCCTGGCGTGGTCGACCAGGGTTCGGGCGTCCGCGATCAGCCCGCTCATCGCCGCACCGATGTGCGAGTCCACCTCCATGATCTGGATTCACAACAGCAGTTTCACGCATACAGTACACATCTTGTCCTCTTAGAAGCATTTGTTGCTCTCAATCGCAATTGAGAATGGCCTCTGTTCATTGGTCAGGCGGTTAGTAGGGCGGTCGATGCTAACGGTAAAAACACAAACTCCAGCCACCCCACCCCAATCTCAAGTAAGAAGGGATAGCTTTCGCCGTCCTAAAAAATTCGCTGCCGGGCCAGCTGGAAGAACGGGAGAGACGCGAGACGGGTCCCTCACGGGCGAGGCAATGACACCCAGTGTCCTCTCTCAAAACCACCACGTCAATGCCAACCAACACTTCGTCACTCGCCTTCTCTACGCTGCTGGGCTCGAGGAGGGGCGACGTGAGGCGCTTCTCCACCGCTAGGACCACGCCCTCCTTGGTCTGGATGCCCACCGCCGTAGACCCCAGCTTGATCGCCTCGATCGCATATTCCACCTAAACCATAAAAAAGTCGATACAAAATAAAAAGTCGTATGATTGGTACCAGTTGAAGCATGATGCCACGATCAGACATGTGTCCAACGAGTGCTGTGGTTTCATCGAACATACATACGTGGTATCCCATCAGGATATGGCCTGGTGTACTCAAGTGGCGTGGCAGGAAGGGGCAAGGCCCGTTGGGGGGTCATCGCACTAATCAACATATCACAGACGGCCCCCGTGGCTTTTGAGTCGTTGAACGGCTGCATCCTTGAGTTCCCCGCAATCAGGCAAACTAACCGTTGAATCATCGCAGTTGCCTGTACCGCCCTCACCCCCGACCAGGGCAGTGCGTACGGATGTGGGAATGAATCACTGTTACGGTTGCACTCTCGCCTCACAGAGCCTTAAGAACGTTCTCTCCAATTACTGTTTCGCAGCTCTCTAGACTTCGGGACAACCTTCTTCTCTTGGCACTCGAAGCGAGATACAGTTAGCAAGAGGGCGCGAGAAACGTGCCCCGAGGAACAAGGGTGTTAAGTACAACGACAACTAAAGCAAACAAGACAAACGTCATGCCGGTATCGGAAAAAAAGAAAAGAAGCACGTGTCAACGCCCGTCCATGCGCCGCTGTTTCCTACTTCCGAGGGATTAGTGCGCAAAGTAGTCATCTTGAAAAGGGTCCAAAAAAATGAAACACACTCACTCATTCATTGCAAGACTTCAACACCCCCCCCCTTTGACTATTGTGGTACTACCTCGAACAAACGGGCAGTGTTTTGGTTCGAAAAAAGCGCCATGGTAACGTGTAAGTGGTATGGGTGCTGGTTTCCTATTTACCTGGAAAAGTCGGCCTTCTGGGGAGAAGGTGTTCACCCCGCGGTCATACTCACTCCTGCACAGGCGAGGCAACAGCAACAACAACAACAACAACAAACGGAAGACAGCGGCAGGGAAGACGTAGGGTAGCGGGCGGAGGGTTGAGAGGGCGTGAGGCGCGGGGCGGCCGCTTCATGCCAGGCGTTAGATTTGCCCTAAAGTCGCATGATGATCGTGTGTTTAAGACAGAAATACTAGTCTATGCCGCCCTGCTCAAGACATCGCTCAAGAGATATGGCTTGTACAAGGTTCACGTTCGTGAGTGCGCGGTTCCCCAAGAAACGCAATCTTGTGTGCAATCACGTACCACGCACTACTAATTCCAAACGTTCGTTCACCACTTAACAGCAGGTACTGGTGACGGCGTACACTCCAAACTACTTCCTGTTGAGACACCAGTAGACAGCCGACAGCAGCAGACAGGGTACCATGCGGTAGATACCACCCCTCCCGCGTCTGTCCCGCGGGAAGCTTCATAGCCAAAGTCAAGAGTACGACGGACTTAGACTGGTGGCAGGTATGTTATACGCAAGGAGATTCCAGTTGTGCAACAGCTTCGCACGGCAGCCGGGGCCCGTTCTGCTCCTACTGCTGTACGTGTACTCGGCATCCTCGTTGCGGCTTCTCTGGAAAACACAACAAACATCAGCTGCGATCCCAAGCTTCGGGCGCCGAATACTGCTGAGGAGCATCCCAAAACCAGCTCTACAGCAACAGGGCACAACTGCATCAATGCATCTCCTACATACGCTGTTGATGTCGGATGGCGACGCTTTGTTCTCTCTCTCACTATGTAGCTCTGGCTCACCTTGTAGCGAACATCCTCGCTGCTCTCCGCTCTCTTCAGAGAGATCTGTAGAGCCAACTTTTGAGGATCACGCAGCTTCTCCGATTGCCGTCCCTTCTTTCTTGTGCGCGCAGCGGCTATCTTCTTGCGTGAAGGTAAACGCGGTGATGCAATCGGCAATCAGAGGAGATATCACACCTTCGGAAGTGGTGTACGTGCTAAAGGGAGGGCTAGACAGCAGTCAGACGCGCAGGGACCGACGCGCAGCCGCGTTCGAGCAATGGAGGGGGTGACGCAATGAAGAATATGTATATACCTCTAGTGTCGATTTTCACACTCGCCACTCGCCCGCAACAAGCAGCAGCAGGCAGCAGCAAGCACGCCAGAGGGCCAGAGAGACCTAGGTAGCGAAGGAGGGCCAAGGAACTGCCGTCAAAATGGTGCAGGAGGTTGCCGGCGAGTCGGAGTTCCGCCGGCTGACGGGACAGAAAGGGAAGCTCGTAGTGGTGAGTCCTTAGCACTCCTAGACGCTTGCTCGTCAACGTCTTTGAACAGCAGCAGTGCATTCATTTCTCTCGTATTCTTCGCGCAATCAGACCTCCGGGTGGCGTGAGTGTGTATGTGTGTTCGCTAGAGACATCGAAGAAGCAGCGGCCGTGTTAGTCTATTCTGTTACGATGCCGGGCTCTGCCGCACAACACACGGTTCGCCTGTCTCAATAATATAGTATCTCCCAAGTTGCATTTGCGGTGCTTTCAGACCTTGTCCGGTCGGAGACGATACAAGTCACCCGCTCCGCTCACAGCAGAGCAATAGCAGCAGCAACCACTACGCGACACAACAGCTACAGAGCAATGAAGCAACGGCGGGGGGGGTTGTCAAATCCCAGCGAAACGTGCTGTCACAGGTGTTCGCCAAGGACGGGGAAATGCGAATTGGTTACTCTTTGTGCTCAAGAGGTTGTCCTCGTCTCCGCTGCTTTACGCGCTACCTGGGGACATCCACGATCTATCGTCCGCTGTGTGCTCCCAATCCTCAATGCTTGTCCTGTAGTTTAGTAGCAAATCCTACCAGAGTAGGTGTAGCGGAAAGCTGCACTGATATACTTGCTCTTCTGTGAGACAAAGAGAGTGTCGGTAGGCACTGCCGGACAGAAATCGTGCCGTTTCGGCGCAGGCCATCTATCTTTCGGCTTCGGCAGAAACAATCGCCCGCCTGTTACGTGCTGCTGCTGAACGACTGCTGTGCACGCTGCTGCCAAGAGCTTTGCGCTGGTGCTCGCGTTGTGTGCGCGTGGAGGTCACAAGCTCTATGAATCTGAAACAACATGAAGAGAGGGTGCAAGTGATTTAACATATGATCGCCCCTCTCTCTCTCTGCTCATTCTGTCTGTCTGTCTGTCTGTCTGTCTGTCTGTCTGTCTGTTTGTGTTTGTCTCTCTCTGTCTCTCTCTGTCTCTCTCTCCCCCTCTCTCCCTCTCTCCCTTTCTCCCTCCCTCCCTCCCTCCCTCCCTCCCTCCCTCCCTCCCTCCCTCCCTCCCTCCCTGCTTCCGGCATCGATCTCCGCACTTTCCGCTTTTTTTGTCGGCGATGTGTGCACTACAGGTAGACTTCACGGCCTCCTGGTGCGGCCCCTGCAAGAGGGTGGCCCCGCAGTACGAGCAGCTCGCGTCGCAACACCCGGATGTTCTCTTCCTCAAGGCAAGACACGTGTGCGGTACAGCAGGGGTGGGCCGGGTTAAGCGAACCCAGTTCTCCGGGCCCATTTTTTTCTTGTATATATACCATGGTACACTCCATTTTTTAGGGTTAGTTAGCCTGTGACGACGGGAATCGACCGTGTCAAGTGTTGGATTCGCACGGACAGAGGGAGGTACTGGATAAAGACACCGGAACGGTTCTTATTGTGAAGACAACAGCAGTTACAGTGTCCAGAGAAAAACTGGTCGCTATGTAGGCCAGGTCGCTATTGCCGGTGTAGCGGCTATGGTGCAGCAGTTGTGCCACGCGATGCAGGGCGTCTCGCTCAGCAGGGGGTCGCCAAACCGCCGTCCCCACCTCCGTAGCGGGTTGTTTGTCCTTCCGAACGGCCGGTATATGCGCCCTGCATGGCGATGCTGTATCAAATCGGGCACAGGATGCACCTACCGTGTTGTGAATTGGACAAGTCTGAGGCTTTGCACGTGGTTGGAAACGACGGAGATTGCAGCGCAGGCGCGTCAACGTGGCTTATGCAGGACGCCCGGGTTTGTTGGTGTTTCGGGCTGCGGAGAGTCTACTTGTACGATGTTGCCACGCGACATGATGGGCACATACGTAGCGCGGTTGGTTGACAAGAGAACAGGGGGGATGGGCGGAGAGAGAGGGTGTAATGGCGGGGAGAGTGAGAAACAGCGAAAGAGGTAGAAGAATGCAAGAGATCGAGAGACAGGGAGACAGAAAGTCAAGGGGAGAGAGAGAACGGCCATGCCTTTGATGAAGAAAAACCACCTGCTTTTTTTCGCAGGTGGTAGAAGACTCCAACAAGGAGCTGATACAGTCGCTATCCATCCGGGCGTTCCCGACGTTCCGCTTCTACCTCGAGGGGAACCAGGTGGACGAGACACGCGGCGCCAACATCCAGGAGGTCGCCAGCAAGGTACAAGTGCCCACCTTTGGCTCAGGGCGTGTGTGCGTCTTGGGTGTATTGAGTTTTTATCGACCGCGCTAGGCTAGCCGCCTGATGAATGGAAGTACTTAAGTTTTTATGGCGTGATACAAAACGCAAACACCCTGTCTATGCAAAGGGTTCTGCCGACACAGCGGGGGGCGCAGGGGTTGGATGACAGTTACCCCTGCTTCTTGCGTGTGTGAATGAAAGAGAGAGAGAGAGAGAGAGAGAGAGAGAGAGAGAGAGAGAGGAGTTTATAATGGTCAATGGCCAAATTACCTCCAGTCAATCACCCAACAGATCCCCCCCCCCCCTCGCCGGCCACACATGCACCACACAGGTGGTGCAGCACAAGGCTAAGGTCGTCCAGGCCTTCGCGGGCGAGGGCATGTCGCTCGGAGGGGGTAGCGGCGGCGGCGCAGCCGACGCTGGCGCCGCGTCGCTCACCCCGGAGGAGGCGGCGGCGGAGGCTCGAGCCAGGCGGTTGGCGCGCTTCGGAGCGATGGAGTCTACCGGGGAGGGAGCGAAGCCGGACCCTGAGGTTGCCAAGTGAGAAGAGGCGGTTGATAGGGGAGGGGATGATGATGAGAAATCAGAGAGTGTGCGTCATCGTGAAGGTGATTGGCTCCTGGCCCTGCCGTCTCTGTTGGCCTGCCCGCTGCTCTCGATACTCTTTTTGGCGTAATCGCGTGTTTGTGCGTGTTGTGACTTGGCGAAGTTTCGAGGTGTTCCTTTTGGCGCACGTTAACCGAAACAGCGAGTTTCTTTTTCGTTCTCGTTTTGTTTTCGGTCTATGAAAATGAACTTCCATTTTTTTGCTCTGCTTGCTTCGCTCTCAAGGGCCAGAAGGATGTGAGTGTCAAAGGAGGGGAAGCGTGAAGAAGGAAGCAGAAGTAGAGAAGGGATTTGTCTTTTTTCACAGCCGCTTGCAGCGACGAAGAGTGATGGCACCGGCTCTGCGTACCCCCGTCCCCCCCCCGCGTTGCCCATCTACTTACGCCGCTGCTACTTTATCGGGACTACTCCTGCTGCTGCTGCTGCTGCTGCTGCTTCTGCTGCTTCTGCTGTTGCTGCTGTTGCTGCTGTTGCTGCTGTTGCTGCTGTTGCTGCTGTTGCTACGACCAGGCGCAACGCAAAGATTCTTGCTTCCGCTGGACCCGACGATTCCCCCCCCGTTGCCGCCGCCTCGTCCTCCTCCGCGATGGATGTTGATCCCCCCGCCGTCCCCGGTGGTGGTGCGCTCGGCGGAGGTTCGAAACCTAGGCGGGCGGCGGACCCCGCGCTAGTCGGTCAGGTGAGCCTTTGGTCGTCCGACTGATGTGGTGGTGGCGGGGGTATGGGGTTGGTGCACTTGTTTTTTGTTGTTCTCTTGAAACAACGGGGCAAGGAGGACAGCACTCGTTTTGCATCATGATGGGGGTGCATGTGGTTGTGATTTTGGTGGCACTACAGTACGTTCTTCTTCGGCCATCGTTGTCAAACTC